AAAAAAAAATCAAAACAGAACCCAAATAAGACTACCATAACCAGCCACCGAACCACGCTACGTTATGCATTTTTTTTTCGTGTCATGCATACTACAAGGCTGTATGTTTATTCCTTTTCATATCCCCGCGGCAAGTCACAAAAGTGCACATGCCTCATGACAATCCCGTGACAACACCAGTTTCACCGTCAATATCAATGTTGAAGAACGCCGGCCGTGTTGGAAGCCCTGGCATAGTGGAGATGTCACCAAGGAGAGGGAAGACAAACTTTGCCCCACAGTTCACACGGACGTCGCGAATGGGCACTGTGAAACCTGTCGGAGCACCCTTCAAAGTCGGGTCGTGCGAGAAACTGTATTGTGTTTTTGCCATGCAAATGGGAAACAAACCATATCCCCGGCGCTCAAAGTCCTCCAGCTTCTCACTTGTGTCGTTGAGGTACTCAACGCCTCCTGCCCCATATATCTCCTTGCATATTTTCTCAATTTTAAGCTTGAGAGAGTCGGTATTGGGATACAGCGTACGAAATTCCACCTTCACTGTCTGTGTCGCACGGATGACCGCCTCAGCGAGTGGAATAGCACCCGCTCCGCCCTTAGCCCAGTGGTTCGTCACAACCACGTCGAAGGCGCCTCCTTCACGTCGCGCAAGATCCTTCACAAGATCCAACTCCGCCGGAGTGTCGGTAGAGAATTGGTTGATAGCGACTACAACGGGTACGCCGAACTTCCGCACATTCGTTACATGCCGAAGTAGATTCGAGCAACCCTGTCGAAGGGCCTCCACATTTTCAATGCCAGCTTTGCTGGGCTCCACTCCACCGTGGAACTTCAAAGCACGGACCGTAGCGACAAGGACGGCTGCATCTGGTTTCAGTCCACTTGTGCGACACTTTATGTTAAAGAACTTCTCGCAACCCATATCAGCACCGAATCCCGCTTCTGTCAATACAAATCCGTCATTACCAACCAATTTTAATCCAATTCGGTCCGCAATGATGCTGCTGTTTCCATGTGCGATATTCCCGAAGGGTCCTGCGTGTACAAAAACGGGCGTGCCCTCCAGAGTTTGCATGAGAGTGGGTTCGATTGTATCACGCATCAGCACAGTCATGGCTCCAGCGCAACCGATGTCTTCTGCGGTAATGGATTCCCCAGACAGACTCTTCGCCACCACGATATCACCAATACGGGCCCGCATGTCACTCAGATCATTTGCGAGAGCAAGGATAGCCATCAACTCAGACGCCACACTGATGTCAAACCCAGTCGTCCGCGTAAACCCCTTCTCTTCTTTGCCCTGTCCAATCGTTATTTGTCTTAGCATTCTATCATTGACATCCATCACTCTCTTCCAAGAGATGGTATCGGGGTCAATGTTTAGGCGAGCAAAACGGCTTCGTTCTTCAGGAGTCAAATCATTCGGATGTTCCTTGTGGATGCCCAGCTTATCCAGTCGCTTTCGCATGATGGGTGTAAAATTCTTCAGCTCGCCTGTGAGGCGTCGGTACAGGGCTTCGTCACCTTGGGAACGCTCGTGGAAGATCCTCGTGTCGATAGCTGCGGCCAAGAGATTGTTGGCAGCTGTGATGGCATGTATGTCACCTGTACTGTGCAGATTAAATTCCTCCATTGGAATCACCTGACTGTAACCGCCACCCGCCGCGCCTCCTTTGATGCCAAAGGTAGGGCCTTGGGAGGGCTGCCGAATGCACGCAAATGTCGGTCGGTGGAGGTGGGCGCACAGAGACTGCGCAAGGCCGATTACCGTTGTACTTTTACCCTCACCGAGCGGCGTTGGGCTCATGCCCGCCACGACAACATACTTCCCTGAGGGTGATTTTTCCAGCCGCTTGAGGATACTCAGCGCAACCTTGGCTTTTGCAGATCCGTAGGAATTTACTTCAGAAGGAAGGATACCAAAGGCCTCGGCAATGCGTGAAACCGCAAACGGCTCCACGCTCTGTGCGATCTCCAAATCGCTAGCGACAGGGCTGTGACACTGGAGACAACGGATGGTCGACATACTCAAATAACCAAAACAATAAGATAATGCGCTTGCTTAAGATGTTGTGCGATGAGTGCAATGAAGCCACATACACACGCACATAGAGAGAGAAAGAGAGAAAAACAAATGAGCAAAGGTAGGCAGAACAGATAATGCAATGCCAACTGCAGGTCACTCACCACGCTACAAGCTTAGTACTTTTTTTTTTGTTGGTCGTTTACTTTTTTTTTCTTCTTTTCTTGTTTTGTATTTGGCTTGCTTGGGTTCGCCTGATGCTGCTGCTGCTGCTGCTGCTGACACTACTGTAGGGCCAGCATTGCTCTCACTTGGGGGGTTACACCTCCCGCAACATTCGCGACGACGTCACCACNTTTTTTTGTTGGTCGTTTACTTTTTTTTTCTTCTTTTCTTGTTTTGTATTTGGCTTGCTTGGGTTCGCCTGATGCTGCTGCTGCTGACACTACTGTAGGGCCAGCATTGCTCTCACTTGGGGGGTTACACCTCCCGCAACATTCGCGACGACGTCACCACGCCAATCGCGGCGTTGAGTAAGTCATGCGTTAATGCGGGGCTCCGCGCCCCCGCCCGCGCCCACGACCACGTGGCGGGCCACCAAAGGGGCTGAAGCCCATACCGCCACCGCCCATCATTGTGGCGGCCATCATCGTTGCTGCCATCGCCATCTGCTGCTGCATCGCCGCCGGTCCGCCTCCGCGGAATCCACCGCGTGGAAACATACCAGCCCCTCTGCCGCGCTGAAACGCCGGAATATTGTCACGCTTCATTGCCACGTTCAGGGGCTTACCGTGCAACGAATGGCCATCTTTCGAAATTGAGGTTGTGGCCTGTTCAGCGGTTTCAAACTCAATGTACGCGTTACCCTTCAACTGTCCTGTGAACTTGTCGCGCAGCATGGTGATGCGCTTAATGGCTCCACACGANTTCAAACTCAATGTACGCGTTACCCTTCAACTGTCCTGTGAACTTGTCGCGCAGCATGGTGATGCGCTTAATGGCTCCACACGAGCCAAAAAACACGCGGAGGTCGCCCTCCGTGGTGCGAGGATCCATGCCACCCACAAATATGGAGGTGTTTTTCGCGGCCACCGCGCCAGTGCTCTTGCGGCTACCCTCATCTTGGGCCGCGGTTTCCTGCAACGTCTTTAACCGGAGATCCTCTTGAAGATCGTTCACTTGGCGCCGTATTTCCTCCAGTTCTGCCTCTGGGTCCACATCGGTGTTGAACTGCACATTATCCCCATCTGACGACTTTGAAGACATGCCCTTCTCTCTCTATCAATGTGTGTGTGTTTTTTTTTTTTTTTTT